AAACTGAACTACAGCGTATGTAAATGGGGCAAGTCATTAAGACGTATTGAATTTCGCGCTGTTGCGTAAAGGAAGTGATTGTGTTCTCTTCTCTCCTAATTCATGCTTAAACCGCAAGCTAAATTTGTGAAGCTCCACTATACCGTAGTCTGAAAGGAAAACTTGGGCAATTTTAAAACAGTTAACAACGTTAAATTAAGCACACGAACTTCAAAGGTGCCAAAGGCGGCCAACTGAGCACGTCTCTGTCAAAGGCTTGGACGACAGCGCCGTCCCTGGACTATTGGCGAGTCCGGTCACGCGTTTCTCCGGTAAGCAACAATGGCCCCGGAGACAACACTGCTAATTGCATTGGCTGTGCGCGTCGCCTTTCGGCTTTGTTATGGCAGAGAACCGCCGCAGATCGGTTCTAATTCTACACTCTTTATGCTTGAAGAATATCATATCTTTCGAGGCTGGATTAGATCGCTCGTACAGGCCTTTCCTCGGGCAGTTTTGACGTTGAAGGGTTCTCCAACTGATCACTAATTTCATTTGCAGGATTTCTCAGAGTAATGGCTGTTCGGTTTGAGCGGTGAAAGCACTTATGTGTAGGTGGAGACAAACAGAAAGGGATTCCTTTTATTATCCCCAACTAGAGCCGCAGCTCGAGATAAGAACACGTACCAGTTAATTTTATGAGTAACACAAACCGAAATCTAATTTTGTGTCCTAGCCGCTCTTCCAAACGAGTAACATGACCACGAAGCCGTTCCAGATTTTCTTGGAACTGGTTGGCCCCGTAGACCAGCCGCTGTCCGAGGGATTGTCGCCTCTATTAAATTTTTTAAATTTTCACCAGTTAAACGACCCAGCGGGTAGTAACGCGAAAATTTAATCCCCGGTGTGTGTATTGTGTGGTGCGGACGTTGCGGGCGCCAAATTCGTTTTTATTTTAGTCGATTTCCCGTGTTTACATGTTTGTAATCCGTGTTTTGGGCGAACGATAATTGCCCACTTCGTGCTTCCTTCCATCAATAAATTGCGCCGTTTCAGCCCGATTCCGAACACAATAATAATATTTATTTTATCGCGACTCCCTTTCCAGATTAAACGTCATCCGAAAATTCTCGGCCGGATGACCACGATTCGAAAACCGCGAGCATCAGCACGGTATAAATTAAAAAACTTTTATGTGCGATAAATCCTATTTATAACAGTTTAATTTAATGTATAAACGCGGATGTTGGACCCGTGCAGACGGACTAGCACGCATTTCCATGCGGGGCTGGAATTATGACCGTTCTAATGAATTATGGGTAATGACCACTGTCCACTCATAATGTGTTTTCCCTGAAAAGCTCATTAATGTAAATGCTTACCAACCCCCAACTGAAACAAAGCGGAGACCGAACGACTTTTTCAGCGATTTTCATTCCACTTTTTTCGAAACTCTATGGTAGTTACGGAGTCATTTGAATTTCGTGCAAAATTAAAATGTTCCATTTATGGCCGGAATCGTGTTGGCGTTTTGCTCCTTTTGTTGTTAGATTTAAAAAGGGGTAAAAACACGTTAAATCCAATGCATATCGTGTTGTTGTTTACGTATTTTGATAAAAACGAAATTAAAGTTGGCTTTCACGTAAAGAGTTCGTGTCTGTTTCATTTATTTCCAGGGAGAATTTTACACGGAACACGTTTTATCAAAGAGGCGCCTGTCAAACATTTATGACGCTCATTCCGGCATTGCACGTCATTATTGAGTGGGGAATCGAGGCATTGCGCGACCGCAACACCACCGACCTAACCGCGTACCGGATGTGTTACCACGTACGTATAGTTGCGGTGCTGAAGCAGTGAACACTGGGCAAATGACTTTTGATGGGTTCATTCGGACGACTTATTCGCAGAAACTTAATTTCTACCCAACCACGTCGTAAATGTGTTGTTTTCGTTCTACTTGATCGAGCTCCTAGAATGTTATCAAATATTCATTGTTTCAGAACTGGAATTATACGAAGCAAACAACACAACGAAAACACGAATATGGACACAATCAAGGGGAGCCACCATTTTAGAGACCCCATTGTGATTAATTTTGTTTCAGGTGTCATGCAGAGGTTAGTATAGATCCCCCACCGTCCGGCCTGTTTTCCGATGATTAGCGGTTTAATTCATGGATATTAAGCGGTACCGAAAAACTTTGCTCGGATTTCCGTGGTCTATCTACGTTTTATCTGTAACTTATCAAGTGCGTATTATTGGCCATTAACATTTCGGCCGGAAATTTGAAAGGAAGGTGTGAGGAAGCATGATAAGGGCACGCCGTCGTTCAAATGGAAGCCTCCCTGGTGTTCCCTATAAGGGGTTAATGTTGGGAGGCAGTCGAACGTTTAGGGTGATATAATTTATTGTTTTTAATATAAGCAAGCATGAAATTTTACAACCCATTTTTCTAAAACAAAAAAAAAAACACGGAACGGTGCACCAGGAACGGTGTCAATTTCCACGGGATTAAATGTGTGCGTTTGTGAAAGGTTTAAGACAACGAACACGAAATCCAATTAAAGGGTTGGGCATTAAACTCGGAGTGAGGTTAAAAAAGCCTTTACTCCATCAGATTACGTTGTAAGATAAACTGGAACCTCGCGGGCAATAAAATGAAAGTCAAACGTTTTAGAGACGATTAAATTTATACTGATATTATAAAACTAGTTTTTCTGGTGTTTAATTAATTGAAACCGCGAGAAGAAAATGTTAAACTGCGAAGTACCCATAAAAGACTTTACACAATGAGGATTTACCCCTTGCCGGTTTATCGGTAGGTGGCAGCAACGTCTAAGCCGCTATCACACAGGGGAACTTTCGAATGCTCCCGGATTAGGAATGGCGTTGTTGACAAAAGCCAGAAAACGAATTTAGCACAACTTAAATAGTCGACGAAATTGCGCCTCTTTGTCGTCTATCAAAAGTGGTCCGACAAGCCTCAAAGAGTTCAAAGTATTTAAATCGGTCTTTAATTCAGTTTTTCCTGCCCGTCTCATATTTCACTGCTATCAGATGCCTACATGGTGTAGTTTATTTGACGTTCTAGTTATTTAAGATTGTTGATAAGGGGCGGGCGCTGCCCTAGGGTAGCATGTTTTGACAATGCGTCACAGCCAACGCAATCACGAACGTTTTTTGCCAAGATGTATGACTAAACGTCAGCTCGATCCGCGATTTCCAACCAAGAACACAAGAACAAATCCGCGCAAGTGTTTGTTTACCTTTCCATTAAGTATAAATGCACGAGAATAATATGCTCGGTTATTAGATTCACGGTCTCCCCTTCCAATCTGATAACGCGCCGTCTGATATTCATACCCTGCATTGATTTTGTAAGGCGTCCTTATCAAGATTTATGTCAATCTTCGGGAAATGGGCAAAATGCAAGGAGAGAAGAAAAGTAATGGAACGTTTCACGAGTTTACGAGTTACGACACCGTTAAAAAGTTTATTAAAAAGTGTATCAAGCTCCTCGTTAAAATCAATGGACAGTTAAAGATATTACGGAATAAGCAACGAACAAACAGTAGCAAATTGCCCGCTATTTCTTTTAATTAAGGAGCGAACCCTTGCCTCTATTAAATAAAGCAAGTTACGATGGGCTGATGCGAAGCGATATTGTTTGTATTAAGGACACGAAAGCGGCTAATTTCGATAAATAAGCGCGATTATGGAACGTGCTGCAATTTACACATGCCGTGGTAAAACTACTGGAAACAGTTACATTAAAACCTTGTGACTTTGAGTTTTAGTACTACGTCTACGTAAATCAAACAGCATAAGTTGATCGAAGTAAGTGTACTTCATACGATATTTCAGCAAGAAGTTGAAAAGTTTCCAAACAGAAATTAGGAGCATCCAAACGGCATTCTTGCGGTGTTACATCAAGCACGGGAAAGCGTCGGAGTTCGGTAGTTGAAATCGGAATATTTAACTTCCATTTGAAGAAAATCGCCTTGCGAACCGCTCCCCCTCGTCGCAAATCCATGACTGAGGGTAACCGAAATATTAAAATTTCAGCGCCCCTCCAGGTGGTAGTCTGAATAGAACACCTGAATTTTACATTAGTCAAGCAAGTCTAATCTGTTAGCTCGTTTAACTCGCTCGCTTCTACTCAATTATTTGGCGATCAATTTCAAGGGTTTAGACTTGAAACCAAACTTTCCAAGATCTCGCACGGCGAGCGGAAAGTTGAAAATTTATGTATAATCTAAGAAAGCGGCGCAAAAACTATAACCACAGCTAGTGATAGCAACTGCTCACTTCGCCCCCCATCTATTATGCAGGTTCTTTTGTGGCACAACGAGGTGTGAAAACTGCGGGTGATGTGTACCATGCACGTATTGTTTTCGAAAGTGCATTGTTATAACCTCACCCCTTTATTTGTGCTTGAGATGAACATGGTCTATTTGAGGATTATCTGCAGCGACCCCTGCATTTATCGAGCGTCCGTAATTAAAAGAGATCACGTTTCATATTTTCGGTTTAATTAAGAAGTTCCGAATTGGAAATTACTTATCGTCAGGCGAAATTATTTAGACAATTCATATCTATGAACGGATGATTTAGGGAGCCAACGGACGCCGAATATAGATGTTTTAATTACGGCGCGATTTTAATTATGATTTCAACGATAAATTACCACGTAAAAATCTTCGGGAATTAAACACAAAGAGATGTTTGCTCATAATTTGTTTATTCAACGCAGCGTGTCTTTCGGTAATTAATCAAACAGTAGAACGCTCACATTCTCTTCCGAGAGTGTTATCACAAGCGCACCTCTTGTTCCCAAGCCTTTTGTCTGGAAACTTGAACACTTTTTGCTCGGTGTTTTATAGGCTGTTAATTTCAGATTTATTTATGTACACCGTAAATTCATATTATCAAAGTGAAATTTAACACTGGATGCACGAAAAATTACTTTTGTGCGAATGACAACCTCGAATTTATGCTTTGATGATAAATGAACTCACATTGCTCCGACGTAAAGCGAATCTCTTTTGCTGTCCACGTAGAACGTGCGGTAGTATAACATCCCACAAGAGAACTCTCGCACATGATCTGCAAAAGAAAAACAAACGTTAATATTAATGCTCAGGTAGAGGATTTCAGTCAACACCACACACAATTTTCCACTTGCGAAACGCGCACTGCTAAAGGCAAAACGGAAACTTAGTCAACTGAAAACTAAATATTTCTTTTTGCTCATTACATCCCGCCACCACGGAAAAAACACCCAACGTTTCTCTAGTTCTCACACTGGAAATAACGTTCTTTTACAACAGTCGTAATTTCATAATTGCGATCTCTCTAGTTGCATCCACGAACACTTCTGCCATTTTGTTTCACAACGCAATACATCTTATTTCGGGTTAGAGCTTCCTCGGGCTATCACGGCAGTCAATTTTATGGCAGCCAAACGAGTCATAGTAAAACTTTTATATCCATTTACGTAACCCTTCAAGACGAAATGGTCAGCGCGGATCAAAGCAATCGCTGAATTGATTTCAATCATAAAGTGAGAACTACGTACAGAAGAGCTGACTTGTCGTCTAGGACGTTTTTTCATTGTACGACGAAATCGTACTAGCGAATGAACTCGTTTCCAATTTTCGGAACCGTTTCAATTTTTTAATCCACTTAACTTTATGCCTGATAAAATTGAAAGTGAGTTTAAAATATGCCATAATGCGGCTCACATTTTCACCAGGCGAGTACAAGTGCCTTCCATGTCTTATCTTTCATAAATGCAGCTGCTCATATTGTCGTAAAAGCCAAAAAGTTCCCAAGAGTTCCAAAATGATGCAGAAAAATGTCTTACGACTCGACATTATAGCCTCATATATACTTAATTCAAGTTTATGCACTGGAAGAAGAAGGGAAACGTTGTGCATTCATTTTTGCTAAAAGCATAGACAAATGTTCGGAGCGAAGACTTCCATCGTCTGAATGTTTAATCTCTATCGGAAAGGGTTGATTTTGGGGAAAATCTTGCAGCGGCGGTTCCCGACTATCAAAAATTCATGAAAACGGAAAAAAACAATTGTGTAAAAACGGGAAAATGTAATTGGTCTGTAATTTATGAGGGATCAATACAAACAAAAGCATTGTTCGTTGGCCTGTCACGAAGGTTAAAAATATAGTTATTATGATATTAATAGAGGCACTAGCATGAAAAATGTGTCTAGTCCGGACACACGCCTATAGAGCATTCAGGGTAACCGACAATAATAGAAGGGTAATAATCTGCGGGCGAGCGTCCAGCACACGTGCCGCTGTGGGAACAAATATTTTTATTACCACTCAATATCTGAATATTCAGATTGAAATTTCCCACCGAATTTACCCCGGTCGAAATTACACGTCTCCAGCATTTCGGACACGTTCGTTCCAATTATGATCCAGAGGACAATAACAAAGTCTTTCTGGGCTGGTGGACACGGCAATTGAATTTTAGACGCGACTAATTACGTTACGGCCTCTCTTTATTTTGCCGAAAAAACTCCACAACACAGCCAGTTTAATTAGCAAATCCACCCAAGAATCGTTCCTGTTCGCTTGACCGTAATGAATGTTGCCGGCAAAAGGTAATTATGGTAATCAGGACGGCGGCGGCGGAGGTGTGAGAAACGACACGGAACTACTGTGATCAGTCTGCTGAAGCACTTGAAATGTTACCTTATCTCTGCCTCCAGTCGCTAGTTTAGATCACGTCCCTGCATCGCGCTCCAACGGACAAGAAACATGGTGCAAATTTACCAAACTCGTGTTTTCTTATGTTAAATGTCATCATTGATGTTAGTTAGCGGAACTACATTTGTTGAAAAGTCTAGTCTAGTTGTAACAGTGGTAGGGTTTAGGGCGTTTTGTTTTTGACTTGATTAGCAAATCCACGAAGAATCGTTTCTGTTCGCTTGACCGTAATGAACGTTGCTGCCAAAAGGTAATTATGGTAATCAGGGTGGTGGCGGCGGAGGTGCGAGAAACGACACGAAAGTAGTGTGATCCGTGTGCTGATGTACTTGAAATGCTACCTTATCGTTACTTCCAAGTCGCTGGTTTAGACCAAACAACGTCCGTCAAAATGACACTTTGGAAAATGGAGGGTAAGGAAACAGGAAGACCGTGGGAGCGAACGTTACACGCGACCTACACTACGTTTCAATTTCGACGATATGCACGGAGGAAGAGGAGTAACAGGATCATCGCCACCACGAGAACATAAACTTCAGCATACATGTCGTGAAAGTCGAGATAATAAAGTTGTAGAGACAAAGTATTCGTTCGTATGGAAGATTCAAGTGAACGGTAGTTGAGGAAGTCACTTCGGCAAACACCTCGATGAAAGTCTTGTGGAGTTCGCAGATTTCCATAATCTGGGAGAAATCATTAGCTATAGATCGCACTTTAGTCAGCGATTTTTCGGTATATGCTAAAGTAGCGCCAGCAAGTTTTATTACTCCAAAAACAATTATGATTCTGAATGGAAAGTGAATATCAAGGTTGTTGCTAAAAATAACAAATAGTGAACTGAAGGAAATCTGATAATTCATTTAGCTAACAACGGCGGCATAAAGAGTTCGGGGAACTTGTTTGTATAAGAAAGCACGACTAGTATAACTATCCCTTGAAAATTATACGCTTTTAAATAGGCCATTATAAGAATAATTTTGTACTAGGAGCCATTTACTCGACTTTGCCGTAACTACTTACGCGATAAGGTTTCATAACTAGTTCGGTTGTTCCGATTAAATTGTAGCATGTCTACAAAGTACACAGACATATTTCAAACAAAAGTGCTCCTTATGCGTTATCAAGGCAGTATTTAACGCTGTTTAGCTAATAATTAGGTCTTTTACGTGTATTTAAACGAGACATGCCATATTGGTAATTTCGGCCAGCAACTTTCCGACTGGCGTTTTCGTAATGTGTTCAATGATCACGTGACAGAAGATAACGTGCAGGAGAACCCGCTGCATTTCTAATAGATCCGCGGATTGCATGAGTTATGAGCTGTTTCACCTGTACAATTACATTGATAAGAACGATACCTTGTATACATTTACATTTCCAACTTAATTAGTTGTACGCTGGGGCCTCATCAGGACCGAGACGTCCTACTTCTGGAAAGCGTATCACGAAGCACGGAAGTCCGCATAATGAATTGTGTTTCAATAAGAGCTATGCAACCAACACAACACACCAAATCGGGTATATCTATGACCCTCGCCATAATAGCCTTTTTCTTGTTAGTAAACGCGCTTAACCCAATCCCATTAAAGCTATCTGATAACGTGTCGAAGCGGTCAAACCGAAAGCACGCCACGAAAGATCAAACCAGCTTAAGACTGTTAGAACGTATCAGTAAGCACGGTGTAAACACACGCGACAATTGATAATGTCAGCCGAACCATACGTCTCCATAGTGGAATAAAATAATTGGACTTATCAAAAGCAAGCTATATCGTAACTCGTGACTTCAATATGCTTTACACGCGGTTCGGGAGAATGGATTCTGGTCATGCAAGCCGGAGCATGTGCAAAAACTTCACTACTTCCACCACTATCTGTGAGTTTCATGTATCACGCTACATTTTCTGCGGCAAACTTCCATACATGATCGGTACAGCCGTGGAAATTAGCATGTTTCGGTTGACTACAGGTCGCCATTTTGGTATTTTAATAATCACGGGGTTTGTAATACTCCGTGTTCGATAAGGATCATGTTAAGCGGTGTTTCGACAATGCGTCGTCGGATTTCGTGCCGAAAAGGCTTTGGCGCAATTGTTAGGTTAGCATTATTCTTGCGCGGCAATAAAAATTTGCCAGACAATAACTTCGGTAATGTACATTGTTTTCCAAGAACAATACCATCATGCAAACTTACACAATCTGTCTGCAAAAACTTCCGAAGTTGCTTGTTGACTTCGAGTTTTCACAAGTACTAAAAACAAAAAGCGGCTGCGGCTTCCTGATTCCGCCCTGTCGCAACGAAGCGATATGACACCAGGAATTCGAGAGATATTCCTGAAATCGATATCCACCTTCGAGCAACACGTGAAGCGGACTCGAGTTGTTAATCAGGAATTCATTTAACCGATGGCCGATCTTTGCGAAAACCTGGGTCTTAAACGACTCTAATGCCATAATTTGTATGCCGAATGAATAAAGACGTCGCGTCTGGGCAATATACTCACAAATAATGTATTTAGCCTCGGCATAAAGAAGCATTACGGCAAAATCAGTGCACCTGTGTCCCCACGAGCCGCTTCGCCTACCTTACGGTAACCGACTACTACGTATGCAGCTGAATTAGCATTCCCGGCGACCCGTCGTTACCTAGCTCGCCCAAATTACGGCCTTTCTCGCCTAAATCCATCGCAAAAATGAGAACCGATAAAATATCCCCATCAGCTGACTCGTGCGTGAGATTTAGAGCCTTCACCGGCGAACGATACGAATTATGACGTCATAAACGCTACGGTGGTACTTTTTTACGGTTATTTCATTTATTATCGCCACAACTTGTTCGATTGTTGGCTTTACATCACTTCAACGAGATCGTCATCGATATGCTTTGTACGATGAACATACGATCGAAAAAATTACGAGCTGCAGTAAATCCTGTTTCAATTGTATTTCCGTTCATTCAAAGCTGTTGTGCCGGCTTTTGTACCACCCGGATTAATCCGAAAAAATCAAATTTATGGCCGCCGTTGCAATCTTGTTAGAGATGATAAACGCACTCGAGTTAGACTTAGTATTTTTAAAATACCTGTCGTAAATCCACACATGTGATTCTCCGCATAATGGGGCAAATTTGAAGGCAGCAAAAAGAAAACGTGCTGCGTAAGGGTCGGCATAAATCAGCAGTGTTTAAGTTGCGCGATGGGTTTTTGCCGCTTTTTGTATTGTAAAAGTTTAATTTTGCGAAGTGATGGCTTGAATTCCGATCGCAGATCGTCCAACAATGGGCTAACGCGTTTGCAGATGTAGCGCGTCCCATAAACACAAAAGGTTCTTCGGAGTGTTATTGTTTTCGTCATTCATAGTCGGAAAGC